CAATTCACAGTCTTGTGGGTCCCACGACTGCTAATGGACCAACACGGAGATAAACGTTACCTAAACACTTCTCAATGTGTGGATATATATATATAAAGTGCGTATATAATATTGGCCTAATTTTAACTGTGCTCCATAACCCTTAAAAATATTTATACTCCCTGAGCACCACAGTCGTACCCCGTGCATCTCGTTTATGGCCATGCCTACTCGCCACCGTGCCACTGTGTTGGCTGAACTATTTTTTATTTTTGCCAAGTAAGGCCCTCGCCAGGCTACTACGCTGGCTCATTCTTTCAGAAGCCACCTGGCCACAAAATTGATAGTTCGACGAAGAGGCTTATCAAGTGGAAATGTATAGCAGCCCGTACACTCTAAACGCGTGGTGATGTTGTTTCGAAACGTGGAGGGAAAACCGGAGGACCCGGAGAAAAATCTACGCGACCACGGGGAAGAACATAACTGCAAATATACAACAGGCGTCAGGGTCGTGATCGAACCCACGACCTCCTGTATACCAGGCGAGGTAGTTAACATCTCCTAGCCACTGTGATGATGATGAGAGAGAGAGAGAGACGCAAACTACAAATATAAAACAAGCGTCAGGGTCGGGATCGAACCCACGACCTCCTGTATACCAGGCGAGGTAGTTGACATCTTTACAACTGTGATGATGATGAGATAGAGAGAGACACCGCAAACTCCAAATATACAAGTGTCAGGGTCGTGATCGAACCCACGACCTCCTGTAGACCAGGCGAGGTAGTTAACATCTCCTAGCTACCGTGAAAATCAAGCACCGTGTATGTTTATTTGTACGTTTTTATAATCTCTCTGTGTGTACGTCTTCACGTTGAGCATATATTTAGGTGGCCGTATACTCAGCCTATCGATCCAATTAAAAGTAGCATAGGTTTTAGACATTGCGAGGATTTTCTTTCATTACGAGAGGACATTGGGGAATTTGCGGTTAATGTCCAATAATATCTTGTGTATATCTTACACTATGGCTGTGTGCCGGCACGAACGACGGCGTTCCAGGGTTCGCATCTAATGCGCAAAGTGGTTGCTTTCGCCTCCGACAGCCAAACTAAGCTCAGACAAATCCACCGCCCCCAGCCACCCAAGACCCAACATATTATCGCCGCCCGCCTTATTTGTTCCGCGCCGTGTGTTTCGTTCTACTGGGCCTGGGTGGTAACATTTTGTTTTTCGGATGAGTGTTTATGTGTCTGTGTGTGTGTGTGGGCGGTTGTGTAGCGGTTAGCGCGCTGCGCTTAGAACCCCGCGACCCGAGTTCGATTCCCGCTCACGGTCAACGCCAGTGACGATTATCCGAACCGGTCCTGGGTCTCCCCTAGGTCGACTCGGCCTCAAACGAGTACCTGGAGCTGTGTGTAAACATCGCCACTGGGGAGACAAAGACGGCCGGGCGTGGTTGCTGGCCACCACACCCCCCTCGTGTGCCGTGCCGGCCTTCATAGGTGCTCGCTAACAGCACTTGCCCCAACAGTCTGTTAAGGCTACACGGGGGATCTTTGTCTTTTTGGAATGTCACGAACTCTAGCTGGGTGGGGGGTGGTGGTGGTCTTGCGGTGGGGGTGGGGGTTGGGGTGGGGGGGGTTGGGGGTTGGGGGTGGGGGTTAATCTCCAAAATAAATTAGATGTCACAAGTGGAAGGCTTGACGTTTCTCTCTCTATCTCTGTGTGTGCCGGACCCGCAAGATTGGCGTAGCGTTACAGGCCACGATTACACGGCCGCAGTAACACAGACGGGACTCCCTGTGCACGCCGAGGGTCACGGTGCCCCCCCGGGGGGGGGGGCGGGGGGGGGGGGGGATAGCGGTGGGTGGGGTCGGAACGGTCGGCCGGTTGATTTTGTTGGGTGGTGGTGGTGCTGGTGGTGGTGGTGCTGGTGGTGGTGGTTGGCCTCTTGTGCCCGTCAATCAGGCGCCCCCACCCCCCCTCCGTTCCGTTTACGGGCACCGCAGCGTCCACTCGCCGACGAAATAGCGCGCAACGCGACCCCGGACGGCGCTCGGGCCCTTTGCCGCATTCCCATAGGCCGGTAGGGCCACTGACGCGGCCACTTCCAAAAATGTCCTTTAGATTTAGGAAGGTGGTGATGGTGGTGGGGGGGGGGGGTCAGATCAGAGGTCCCCGCCTCCCCACCCTCCCTGCCCTGCGCTTATCTGCACGGCACCTGGCTTGCTCCGTTCACTCGCCTCGCTGAGCCGCAGCCGGCCAAGTCACGGTCCGAAGCCGTCAATCGTCCCTCATCCTCCTCACTTTCGTCGCGTGAGCACATTGCCCACCATCACCAGCCGCAGCCATGGACGCCATCAAGAAGAAGATGCAGATGCTGAAGCTGGACAAGGAGAACGCCATCGACAGAGCCGAGCAGGCCGAGTCGGACAAGAAGGCGCGGCGGAGAAGACCAAGCAGGTAGAGTCTCACCTCTTCCCGTCGGGTCGAGCGATCATTTGTGCCAGACCCCCCCACCATTCTTCCAGCTCGTGAGTTGTCTTCATGGTTTCATGCGCTCCGAGCAGAGCCATCGCCCACGTGTTGCGTGAGACCAAAGACGCTGCTCTTTTGGGCCATGATCGTCGACTCTTAGTTATGTATTTGCCGGCAGAGTTGTGCTCGCTTATTGTGCATTGTGTGTGCGTGTGTGTGTACGTGTGTGCGCGTGCGTGTGTGTGCATGTGTGCGTGTGTGTGCGCGTGCGTGTGTGTGTGCGTCTGTGTGCGTGTGTGTGTGCGTGCGTGTGTGCGTGTGTGTGCATGTGTGCGTGTGTGTGCGCGTGCGTGTGTGTGCGTGTGTGTGAGTGTGCGTGTGTGCATGTGTGTGCGTGTGCATGTGTGTGCGTGTGCATGTGTGTGAGTGTGTGTGTGTTTTAAGATATCTTATTACACAGCTATCGGTTGTGATTTCGGGTTTTGTCGCTCAAACGTCGTTCGGGCACGAAATGTTTCCCTCCGCGTGCTGGGGAGCTTGGCGGACTTGAGGTGGGGGGGGAGGTCCTGAAGAAGCTCCCAGCGCGCGTGGAACGAAACGTCGGACACCGTGCCCCGAACGCCGCGCGGTGCAACCTGAAAACACCGCCGGAGGGTCGCGGACGCAAATTTTCAAGGCGAAAGAATCGCAAGCGATTCAAAACGTGGGGACATTTATGTTTTCTCTTCGTCGACTTCTTCTTGCTGAAGAAGTGAAACAGTGGGCGGTGTAACGCGTACGACGCTGCGTGTCATATTTGCGAAACGATCCTTATTTTATCGCACGCAATTACTTGTTTGCACGTTTATAAATAACCCATCCGTGGTGTAAGAGTGAATTAGATCGCACAGAGGCCCCTTAGCGTAGGCACATCTGGTCGTCCAGATGGAAGATTTTGTCGTGATATTTTAATTCCCCCCGAAATAAAATTGCGTTCGTTTAGAATTGCTCAACGCAGTAAATATAGAACGTGGGGAGACACCAAGACTGGGGTTTCCAAACAAATCTATCGCAGCCGTGGGATTTCTAAAGATTCGTTTAGAGTCCCTTTTCCAGCGACACTTTCAGGAGACAACGCAAACATTTATCAACGGCGACACAAATATTTTGTGAAGGTTTTTTTCTTCATAGTTGAGTGGTCGGCTGTAAAGAAAAAAAAACAATCGAATAAATTTAAAGTGACCCATCGGTTTGTCATTTAACGCGATATAAGTTAACGAGGGGGGGAAATCATCGATGACATTATTTGCATTGGGATGTTCGGTCAATTCTGCTCAAGATCAATTGGCTTCGCGCGGAAGAAATCCAGAGAACCCGTAGAATACCCCACGATCAGATATCACACTCCAAGCCCCGCACGGATAGATGCAACCCAAACATCGACAATTGTCGGTTTGATTTGATTTCGGAAGCGCAAAATTCGTGGCTTTGTTCCACATCACGCCGGTGTGCGCTGCAAAACAACTTATCTCGTGGTGGTTTTATTCCTGACATTGTCTCCATCCCTCCTCCTTCCCTCGCCCGCCGACACGCAGCTCGAGGATGAGCTGGTGGCTCTGCAGAAGAAGCTCAAGGGGACAGAGGACGAGCTGGACAAGTACTCGGAGGCCCTCAAGGACGCCCAGGAGAAGCTTGAGGTCGCCGAAGAAAGCGGCTGACGTGAGTAAAAAAATTAACCCGTAAAACAAAGTTTTTCACTATAAATCCTTTATATGCGTGGCATCGGTTTTATTTATTATCCATTTCTGTTTTTCTTGAGTAGGGGTTTCATTTTTATCACATTGGTATTTTAAATTAAATATGAACTCGTTTTTTTCCCCTAAAAAGTGGAAAATATGGAATTTTTTTTCACGAAATAAATTGTCACGCACAACGAGTCTGTGTGCAAAATGTCAGCTCGATTGGATCACGGGAAGTGGGTTAAAAAACGACCGAAAGATTTGCACGGTCGTAAGCGCGCAAGCAAGCAGGCAAGTGAACTTAATATAAAGGATTTGAAAAAGAAACATCTCCCGAGACTCAGGGGGTTGGGGGGGCTGGGTGGGGGGCTGGGTGGGGGGCTGGGTGGGGGGCTGGGTGTGGTGGGGGGGGGAGTCTTCGCATTCCCGGCTCGGCTACAGCCTTATTTGTCACCGGGGGGGCGAAAGGGTAGCGCCCGCCCGCTCGTGGCGGAGGTTTCGCCGGTTCAAGCCCGTACGGCTGCCCTGGTTAATACTGCGGGGAGGGAGGGGGGTAAGGGTCCCGTGACGTCATTTGAAATAGAGTGAGGCCCACGTGTTGTGGGTGCTGTATCACGGTCGAAATTTGCCGAATTTCAAGATGTGCTCACGTGTTGCGTAATTGGGTCAAACCAGTTGGCAATATCTCTCCCTACTGGAAACTACGTTGATTGAGACTTGTAGAAGATTTGAAACAACATTTATTCTTTTCTCTCTCTCTCTTTAATTCCTCTCGATTATTTCCGTGGGGATGTGTACACGTGGCCTGTGTGCAGCACCGCGTTACAGGCTACAGGACGAGCAGGTACAAGAGTTGCAG